CTCCCCTCCCCCCCCCCAAACACACGGAAACCAACATGCCTGAAAAAAAGAAATGAGGCCGGATTTGGGCTGTACTTGGAAAGCGCAGCAAGTCCCTGCAGGCCAAAAATAAAAAATAAAAAGATTCAGTGTTTTTTTTTTTAAGCCCGGGAAATGCTCTTTCTCTGGTCCTTTTTTCATTCTCATCTGTGTTCTTTGGAGTGGCTACCAATACAAACGACTTAAAATTTTATTTGGTTTTGATTTTCTATCACCTTCGTTGATTTCGTAGCACCTTCACTATTCTGTTTGTGACTGTCCTAGGGCACAGTCTTCGATTCTGTTTGCTGTCTAATGGTCAATGCATTGTATAGATCTTCTATACATATAGTCATATAGTCTCCCCCTATGTGGCATACTGCGCACTGCGCAGCCACACGGGCCTGCAGGGCCCGACCAGACAGAAAATAAGGGCCTTACAGGCCCTGTGTCGTTTCAGCCTGAAAGCCTGAAAACAAGGGCCTACAGGCGCTGTGTCGTTTCAGCCTGAAAGCCTGAAAACAAGGGCCTACAGGCCCTGTGTCGTTTCAGCCTGAAAGCCTGAAAACAAGGGCCTACGGGCCCTGTGTCGCTTCAGCCTAAACGCCTGAAAACGAGGGCCATTTGCAGGCCCTCATAAAGTCGACCTGCCCTGAAACTTAGGCACCAGACCAGGGTTTTACCACAGGCCATTTTTGGGCCTGCTTCAAGACAACCTTTGTTTGGACTTCAGTGCCAGGGTCTGGCACGATTCAGCATGGGCAAGAGCAGCCTCCTAGCCGGACCAGCACTATAAAGTCATGGCTACCGACCGGACGTCCGGACGGGCTTCCAGACAGTCCGTAGCAAAATGTACCGGTCCGGTGCAGAGCAGCACAGAGCACCACACAGCAGCTTCCCCAGAACACAGCCACACAGAGCAGCTTGCCCAGAGCATGGACAGGTGGAGCGCAGGGGTGTTTCATATAGATTTACACTCTTTTCATCTTGGTATGCCTCCAGGGGAAGAAGGAAGTAATGGAGGAGCGTTGATATTTCTTTAGCCCACGTTGGAGAAGCAAACGAAAAAGAGTAGCCCACCGAGGCCACCCCACTGTCGTTGATGGTAAAAGTCCGTCCGTGCTCAAATGCATTCTTAGGAACGACCAAGCTCCTCCATTCATTCCCTCCCCTCTCTCTGAGAGCTATACAGAGCATGAAAGAGTAACTCCTGCGCTCCACATGTGTGAGTCTCCTCCATAGAGGCACAGAGGGCATCAACAAAGTGTGATGGTCTACATTGGGTGGCTGGGAAGGGGCTGATTTTTACTGTCTGGTTACAGCGGGTTGGATCTTTGACCACCACTCTTTTCCATTCGGTGTTCGCGTTGAGGTGGCTTCGGCCTGTGTTTGCAGTTGGTCTTCGTGTCCTTTCTCGATTGGGTGGTTGAGAAGAAAGGATTTTGTGGCTCTTAGCAAGGAGTGACAGGCTCTTTTTTTCAAAGACTGTTTTCAGCGTGTACAGGAGTCTTTTGATGTGGTCATCCTTAACCGGGTGTCCTATGACTTGGTTGTCCTTAAGTAGTAGTGGTAGAACTTAGAAGGTAATCCTGTGGAGCATTATAATTTGTGACGGGTACGTGTAGTCGCCCATGTGATTTTCAGTTGTGTGAGGGGAGTAAAGTGGTTGGTTGGGCAGACGGAAGGAATCAGTTCGCTGGTAGTGTGCACAGTTTTGCTAAAAAAGTGTCTGGGGCTATGGCTGGCTGTGTGGCTTGTTTCAGGGTTTCGGAGGGAACACTCGATAGCGAGTGAAAAGGCCGGAGGTGCACATGGCCCTCTGCGGGCTTCTGCGAATGTGAGGATGTCTGTGAGGTTCGACTACCAACCTGACATCTGCAAGGACTACAAGGAAACTGGCTATTGTGGTTACGGGGACTCTTGTAAGTTTATGCATGACAGAGGAGACTACAAGTCAGGCTGGCAGGTCAGTTCCTCCCTGATTCGTGAACTCCCTGTCTCTCACTCACTGTTCTTTCACCTTTGCGTTGCATTGGGGATTCAGTACAAAGGGGGGCTCGTGACAGAAGTTTGCACAACCTTTGTTGAGTTACGCCCTTTTTTTTGGGAGAGTGAATCTTGAATGCCTGATTGTGTGCTGTAGATCATCTAATGAGGCTTTTCTTGTGTGTTGCCTGCAGTTGGACAGAGAATGGAATGAGAAGGAGAAACAGAGGAGAGAATTGGCAGCTCGGGACCAGTTGGATGATGAAGACGACCCGCAGAAGGAAGAGATGGATGAAGATGATGACCTGCCTTTTGCTTGTTTCATTTGCCGACGACCATTCATAGACCCCGTGGTGACGAAATGCAAACATTACTTTTGTGCACTCTGCGCCCTCAAGGTAATTCCCGATCTTCTGCTTTCAACAAGACACGACATGCATGCATGTGGGTGCGGGTGCATGAGAAGTGCCAACTATTCATGCACACTTGATTGCTAGTGAAAAGGCTAGAGGTGTTGAGTGGTGAGTCATATGAAGTGGCTCAGTTATCTTGCATCAGATTACACATTAATTGTATGGATGTAAGCGTCAGCTGCGAGATCATGAGACGGAAGGTTGAATCTGTCGATCGCAGAGTAGTGATGACTAGCTCACTTCCTCTGTCAAGTCCTTCAAGGCATGTAGTGGTTGTTCTTGTCTGGTAGTGGTGGTTTAGTCTCATGAGACAAACATTCCAGGTTCTTGAGATGAACAGTGCGCTACTGGACAACGACTTTTCGTCTCGTGTAGTGGTGGTTGTAGTCTCATGAGATCATGAGACGAAAAGTTTATGTCCAGTAGCACTGTTCATCTCAAGAACCTGTAATGTTACATCTTTGCTCGACGTTGCCTGTGACATGTAGTGGTGGTATAACCACAACATGTTCCAGTAGCACTGTTCATCTCAAGAACCTGGTCCAGCTTTTGTCCAGTGACTGCAGTCTCATGGCAGGCAGCCGTCTATTTGGACTAGCTCACTTCCTGTTTGAAATGAATGGGTGGAAGACTGAAGCAACGTGTGGCGTGATGGCCTATCGATACTCTTTGGCAATCTATGTTGGTGAGGTCTGTGGGGCGGTAGGCAGAGAAGTGGAGAAGGGTTGGTAGGGCATTGCAGGCTGTTTCTTCTGGGGTGAACAGGGACGGTGCCCAAGGAGCAGCATGGCAGGGTGAGCAGGGAGTGCATGGGTCTGTGCATGCTTGTATAGGTGCTTGGGGCAGCTGCCAAGAAGGCATCGGGGTAAAACTCTCTCGCATTCTCATCCTCACAAAGTTTCTCTGCTTATCCGTCGTCACTGGTTGTCTCTGATATCAACTTGGGCAGCCATAGCCATGTGTTCTCTATAGCTACTGGTTCTCACACAGGGCTTGGAGAACGTGCAATCAACTGGGGCAGCCATAGCCATGTGTTCTCTATAGCTACTGGTTCTCACACAGGCCTTGGAGAACGTGCAATCAACTGGGGCAGCCATAGCCATGTGTTCTGTATAGCTGCTGGTTCTCGCACAGGGCTTGGAGAACGTGCAATCTGGAGGTGAATGCAGAAACCACTTGGTCCACTTGCAATACCAACCACCGGAGGTACGCGCACAGTGTTGGTGCTTTAATGACGATGTGGACCCACCAGAAAGCATCTCTACTGCGCTCATAGAAGTCTCTGCTGCATCCACACTCACCTGGTTGCTTTCCCGAACTCCGCTGCGATTGAAAGCAAGGTCCACCATCTGCTACCTCCACATCCAGCCACACGTGGCTCTACTGCCGCTTCTCTCTAGCAGTGGTGGTCTTGGGCCTCCCCCGGAGCCAGGCTAGCACAAAGCTAGAGTACCACTGTTCCAGCATCATAACTCAAACAATGAGGAAGGTGGTCTGTTTGCCTAGCAGCCTCAACGTCAGTACGTGATGGTGCTGGGCCTCTCGACGCCTTACTTCCACAGTATTCTCCTTGACCATGCAGTAAGAGCCTCTGTAGGTTTCGGTAGCCACAAAGTGACTCATCCATCTCGTAAAGTTCTGGTGCCTCC